CCTGAGCCTCGAGGCCTCGGGTCGGACGACGGGGGTCGGTCGGGCGGCGCCCTCGCTGCCCTTCGTGGCCCCCGCTCGTTCGCGCCCGTGGTGGCCCCATATGCATCTGTCCTACGTGGCCCAGTTGCTACCCTTAAGTGGCCCCGACCTCCTCGCGCTGTGAACAAAATCACGACGGGAGGTGTTCGCTGTCTTCGGCCCCTGGGAGCCGTTGCCGGGCCTCGGGGCCGTCAGACAACGACCCAGGAGGAAAAGCCTGTCCCAGGGAAGGGCCTCAGACCTTTGGGGCCGACGCTGCGGGAAAAAGCGCACGACGCCGGGGAATTCTGGGAGGGAGCACCCCCCTCCAGAGGGGGCCGCCAGCGTCTCCTCTGGAGGTCGGGGAGTCGAAGGGGACTGGGGGCTCGAGATCGAGGAGGCGTGGGGCGCTCCTCCTCCTCCTCCTCCTCCTCCTCCTCCTCCTCCTCCTCCTCCTCCTCCTCCTCATCCTCCTCCTCCTCCTCTCCTCCTCCTCCTCTCCTCCTCCTCCTCCTCCTCCTCCTCCTCCTCCTCCTCCTGGGAGGGGGGGGGGCTCCCCAGGGGAGTCTCTGGGCCGGGGCGGGTGGGCCTGCGTGCGGCTGCGCCTCTGCAGCCGCGCCCTGCGGCGAGAAGGCAGCCTCCGGGATCCCACGTCGGATCTTCACCTCCAGGGCCAAGTCGGGCCTGCCCCCCTACAGGGGGATTTTCGACGACGAAAACTATGAAATGCCAAAAAATGCTCCCAAATGGCCAGAAGATGCTCAAAAAATAGTCCCCTGATTATTGTTGTATTATTTTTGAGGAAATGTTTGGTTTTTCGTCGAAAATCCCCATGTAGGGGCACAGGCCCGACCTAACTCCAGAGCCAGGTTGGATCCCAGCTCGCCCAGCCCCTGCTCATCACGCGGAGGCCCGCCGACGAGGTGACAGACCCGAGAGGGCGCCCCCTGGGGAGCAGAGCCCCCCAAAAACTGACAAGCTGACACGCGCCACGGGTGGGCCACCACCAGGGGGGGGGTCTCCGGCGCCTCTCCAGTCGGGGAGTCGAGGAGTCGAGGAGGAGGGAGGGCTGGGGACCGAGGAGGCGCGGGACACTCTTGGGGCGCCCCTGGTCCAGGGGAGGAAAGACCGCCCGGACCCGATCATCGGCGTTCACGAAGCGGCCTACAGTGCCGTTTTTAATACATGCTCCGCGTGCGGATCATGTATCAAAAATGAAGGGATTTAGTATTAAAAACAACGATGAGTTCATACATACATTGATTCATTAAGTCATGTACTAAACATCCTATACTTTGAACAATCGTATGTATTTAACTGCCCTGTATTGGCGTTTACGAGACTGCCCCGTTCTGCCCCATGGGCTCCCCCCCGCGGCGCCCGCGGCGCTGCCCCGGGCGCGCGCTCCGTGCGCCCGGGAGGATGAGGCCCAGTGCGGACCCAGACATCGTCGCGTCGTGCAAAATTCGGGTGCGGCAGAGGGGGGTGATGCCCAGGGGGGGGGGGGGAGATCCATGGCGGGGGCCATGATGTTTCCCCAGATTTCATGGCGCCTCTGCTTGTTTCGTTACGTCCTGGCCCCCCCGCTGGGCCGCGCACATTCCGCCGGGTCCTGATTTGCACCCCCCCTTCTTGGACACCCCCCTCTTGGCCGCTCCCGAAAGATTCCAGACGGGAGAATTTTCTCGATTCTCGGCCCCCGGGGGCCCTCGCCGGGCACCGGGAGCGTCAAACAACGACTCAGGGTGAAAAGCCAGGGACGCCGTCCGGAAAAAATCAGGACGTCGCATGTCCGCGGCCGCAAGAGATCCGCGCGGGGCTCCAAGAATCTGTCATTGTGCTGCTCTCTCCTTGTAGTCACCCCGCACAGTATGGATGGGCAACCTTCCCGAGGGTACCCTTGCATCCTTGCCTCCTCGGCCCATGCTTGGCCGCTTTCGCTGGCCGCGCGCCGCTCGCAGAGTGTCGACGTGGCCTTCCAAGGCCTTTGCATCCTTATCGTGCGTGCTTATGATACGGGCTGACTGTAAGGCAGAATGGCTTCATAGAAGGCAGGGGCCTTCTCGAAAGCGCCCGCAGGCGGCTCTCAAGAAGGCTTCTCAGGAGCTTCTGGGCGCTTCTGAGGAAGGCCCCTGCCTTCTAAGAAGCCCCCCTGCCGTCTGAAAGGGCCCCTCCTCCTGGCGCCACCTCCTTGTGCGAGACGTCATCTGGGAGTATGTAGGGAATGCCGGTGGAGGGGGGGAGTCCAAGCTCTGCTGCGCACAACTGGTTTCGCCGGCAGGATGGGGGATATGGACGGGCGGGGGGGGATTACGAGCTCTGCTGCGCGCACCTGCACGCACTGGTTTTGCGCCAATTTCGGCCCTTGGGGGCCCTCACTGACAGGCAGTCGGGCGATGACCTCCGCGTCCTGCGAATCTGTACTCCGCCCCGTTCTCCCAGGCCATGGATGCGCGCGACGGCTCGCCTATGGCAGGTTGGCTGGGGCGCCGATGTTGTTTTTTGGGGATCTTGTCCCCCGAATACTGGCCCCCCTTGTGGCAGAGAGCTTGGCACGGCACGTTTCGTTGCCAATAGGTCGTCGCCGAGAAAAAAAATCGGCCCCTGGGGGCCCGCACTGGGCCCCATGGCCGTCAAAGAACGGCTCGGGAGGAAGAACCGGCCCCGGGGCACGGGCCGGGACTCCCCCCTCCTCCCTCCTCCCTCCTCCCTCCTCCTCCCTCCTCCCTCCTCCCTCCTCCCTCCTCCCCCTCCTCCTCCTCCTCCTCCTCCTCCTCCTCCTCCTCCTCCTCCTCCTCCTCTTCCTCCTCCCCCTCCCCCTCCTCCCGGCCCCGGGGCACGGGTCGGGACGCGCACCAAGAAGGGCAGGACGCCGCACGACTGGGGGACGGGGGGCCCCCCAAGAGGCGCGGTGGCCACGGCGCGTGGTGCGTCCGCGGGGCTTCCCGGCCTCGCGCGGTCTTTTGGGGGCTCGAGCCGCGTGCGCCGAGGGCGTCTCGAGCGACCGAGGAGGGAGGAGGGAGGAGGAGGAGGAGGAGGAGGAGGAGGAGGAGGAGGAGGAGGAGGAGGAGGAGCAGGAAGCAGGAGGAGAGGAGGAGGAGGAGGAGCGAGGAGGAGGAGGAGCAGGTGGAGGAGGCGGAGGAGGGCGCGGGAGGAGGAGGGGGGGGAGGGAGGGAAGGAGGGAGGGCGAGAGGGAGGGAGGGAGGGGGAGGAGGACAAGCCAGGTGCGCTCGCGTCATGTCTGACATCCTACCCCTCCCTCCCATCCCTTACCATGGCGCAGATTCCCTCTCTACTCGCTCAGTCGGATGTCGAGCAGGGCACTGATTCCGAAAGGGTGCGCGATGCATTGTAGAGCACGGCGTGGCATGGCGTAGAAGAGCACCGCAAAGCGTAGTATCAACCTAGCATTGCATTGCATGCCGTGGCATGGCACGGGAAATGACGCCAGCGCTGCAGCGGGAGCACGATTCGGAACGAGCGGAAGCGCGGAAATGTGGCCAGCGCTGCAGCGGGAGCACGATTCGGAACGAGCGGAAGCACGGAAATGAGGCCAGCGCTGCAGCGGGAGAACGATTCGGAACGAGCGGGGCCCGAAAATGAGGCCGGCGCATCAGCGAGAGC